CGCGTCCCTCGCGGGGCGGGGCTCAGGGAGGGGAGATGGCGCGGGGAGCGCAGCGGGGCGTGAGGGGAGAGGGCAGTGGGGACAGTGTGGGGATGTGAGGGGAGGTGGCCCTGGGGAGAGCAGGGGGACATGAGGGGGAGATGGGGAGAGATGGCGCTGGGGAAAGTGAGGGGACATAAGGGGGACGTGAGGGGAGATGGCACAGGGGAGAGAGAGGGGAGATGGGGGGAGATGGCACCTCGGGGTGCTGGCAGGGGCGAGCCTCAAAGGAAAGAGAAATAGTGGCGTGAAGGAGAAATAGGGGGTCCACATGGCACCCCAGCACCCAGGGCTTCCATCTCTGCTTGGTCATGCAGCACTTTGGGGCCAAAAATGGGCCAGAAAAGTGTTGCTCCTAAAAACCCCCAATATAAGCCGCACTCGCCATCACAGGACAGAGCTAGGAGTTGGTGCAAAGGCTTAGTGGAGGAGGGGGTGTAAAGAAATAAAAGATTAAATGAATAATAAGTACTCCTCCTGAGATTCAGGTGAAAGGTCCTGAGGCTGGGGCAGTCCTTGGGGCTGGCTGATCGCCCTTCCACCATTCAGCCCCGATAACTGAAAATGGAACCGAAAGCAAAAGCAATTAAAAAAGGAAAAGCCAGCAGCTCTCCGGAGCTCGTTCCCTGCCCCGTTCCCACCCCTTCCTCTGTAAAGAGCCTGCTGGCAGGGAAGGCACGAGCTGAGCGAGGACTTGGATGGAGAAAACACGCCAGGCTTTTTTTGTTTCCCTGTGGTTCCTGGAAACTGGGAAAAACTCCCAGGGAATGGAAGAGAGCGCAGCTTGTTGGTGCTTGGGTTAAAACTGAGCCAAACCATAAAACTCTTCTTTTCTCAGCACCGTACCAGCGCCCAGAGAAGCAGAAATGTTGTGTTGAGCGAGATCCCAACAAGGATCGGAGCTTGTCTTGGCACCTGGGGAAGAAGGTAAACCTCTCCTGTTGAACTGGGGGGAGATGAGAGGGAAACGACCCCACTAAAATGCACACACAACTACTTACCAGCAGTCTTGAGCAGGACACGTGTAAGCCTGAGCCCTAACGAGTCGCTGGAGAGACCAGCAAACTCAAGTCAGCCCCTTTTAAAGAAGCCCACACGGATCCAACGCACCATTTAATTCTTTCCTGGTGAATTTTAGGATTTAAAGCGTGCTCAGGGTATAAAGGAAACAGGCTGCACAGCCCCATAAAGGAAACAGGCTGCTCTGCCCCAGCCAGCGGCTAAGGGCTGGTGTGTGCACCCCTCGTTGCTCCAGAGGCACCAGGCGCAGCACAGCGTACGCACCGGTACAATCCCACGCTGTGGCAGACTTCCTGGTCTCCTACAGCTTTCCTCGATGTTTTGAATGCCCCAGTCTCTGTTTTGCTCCAAGTAAAATGAGTTGGTTGTAATCCCTTCAAGCACCCACCGCACAATTATGGATTTACATGGAAAATTCCCTGCTCCCAGCGTTTAAAGACAGCTCCCATTCTCCCCGGACAAGCTCAGGAGGCACCATCCCACTCCCACCACACGATCATCTGCTTACTGCCCTCTTCCCAAGAGATTTTTAACTCTTTGCTCAGTATTTACAGCCCAAACTTAGCATGAAGAACATTTCCTGCAAAGAGAGGAGCCATCAGGCGTCCGTCACATGTGGATAGCAAGGAAGGACAGAGTGAGTCACTGAGGTGTAGCCCTTCTCCTGCAGCAAAGCGCGTTAAGTGCGAGATACCGCCCTCCTAAGATACAGACCTTATCCTGCCGTGCAGTCGTAGGGCACTTCAATAATATTGCCAGTGATCTGGAAATTAAAGAGGCACAAGAAACATTTCAGGAGGTAGCAGAATAGATTTAGGCAGGAAAAAAATTAGTATTAGGAAAAAACAAGGAAGAAACGGCAGGCTTATCGGGATAAGGAAACAGCGAGCCCTGCATCTTATGACCAACATGTAGCCTGGTGAGCACACCTCCATTGCCACAACCAGGCACAAGCGTTTGATATTAAAATGCTTCCCATTTGTTAACAAAGGGACTCAAAACAAGACGCTCCTTTGGCAGCTGGTGTTGTTAGGGATTTCAACCTCCAGCTCACATCCTTGTCTGCGTGACTCAATGCTTTTATTGGCAATCATGACAGCACCTTGTAATTAGTAAGCTTGGTTGTCAGAGACAATTATGCAAGAGTGGAGTGATTACTCTTCCGAGGGGATCCGTCACCCCCAGTTTACCTCCCAGGAAAGAAGAGGTAGAGCAGATAATTGACGTAAGGCTGCAGTGAATCAAAAGCCAGCCTGGCCAGCAGGATTTCCCAAATCCCGTTCTGGTGACAAACCTGTCCCAAAACTGGCTCACTTGGCAAAGCAACGCCAGGCACGTGCTAAAACCGTGAGGCTGCAGAGAAGCGAGGCAGCGGACTTGAGTGAGTGGCACTGCGGCATTTATGAGTGATGGCTCAGTCACATCTCTTCTGCTGACCACTCTCTGAACCATTCCGGTGCAGGAAGCTGTACCATGCAACGCTCACCTCTCTGTATCCGGCTCCTGCTCTTGGTGCAGCTTTTGCACCCATGTGACTCCTCAAAAAACCCTTCATTTGCCTTTTTTAAATGCTAAACCTCTGGGGGAGTCCCTTGCCCTACTCCTAAGCGTCCATAAAAGACATCCAAGAAAAGCACATGAACTTGTGGTAAGCTTTACATTTATTACTTAGAATCGTAGAATCATTAAGGTTGGAAAAGACCTCTAAGATCATCAAGTCCAACCATCACCCCATCAGGGTCTGAACCTCTCTTGGCCATATAAAGGGCTGCAGATTTAAAAGTGGTAATGCCCCAATTCAGACTGGGACCATCCCAAACAGGAACACAACTGTCACTGTGGTGAATTTGCACTTGTAGGCAGTACCACAAGAAAGCCACCTTCACAAAGTAGAACAGACAAAGCCAACTGCTCAAAATAGTTTTCAAACAATCAGAGCATTTAGTCTTTAAACCATCTCCCCACAGAAGAAACTGCAGCCAACATTTGGCTGAATGAAAATGAACAGGGCTGTAGCAGCCCACACATTAAAACCTTCCCCTTTCCCACCTCGAGAAAGGGTGGTCAGAGAGACAAGGCCAACCGCTCAAAATAGTTTTCAAACAATCAGAGCATTTAGTCCTTCAATCATCTCCTCGCAGAAGAAACTGCAGCCAACATTTTGGCTGAATGACAATGAACGGGGCTGTAGCAGCCCACACATTAAAACCTTCCCCTTTCCCACCCTGAGACCAGAATTCAAATTGTAGTTTTGCCCTCCTAATTAATATCTGCCTTAATGACATAACTTAGCTAGAATAGTGACAACAGCATCCCATGTAGAGCTCTGAGCACGTAAGGAGGAAACCACTGCCCAAGAAGTGCTTTGTCACAGCAACTGATGCACAACCCTTCGCGTTTTTCAGTGTCTCCGCTCACCTGGTACTAACACCGACTGCTCTCTGCATATCTGAGATTTAAAATGGTCAACAAACTCAGTGCTTGTCTCAAGGAAAAGTGCATCTGTTTGACATGCTATGAAAAAGGAATTACTACTCCCCGAGATAGGTGCTGCCGCTTTGGGTAAGCCGACTGCGCCACGAGTTTCAGAGGAGGAAGATCCTCTACTCCCCCTTTCCAAAAGCTGTTCTGTTACATGACACGAAGAGAATGGGACTTTAAAAAAGTTATTTCTAACTAAAACTGCCATGAGCTTTCTAGGGATATAAATGCCAATTTGTTGATGTCCCAAGAGATTAGCTTCCAGCTCCAGAAAAATCAAACCGACCGTCTCCTGGCTGGAAATCAGGGGTTTACCCAGGAGAGACGAGGAGTGCCTCGCTCATTTTTCCAGCAGACAGCGCAGCGGCCAAGCGCTACGTTTTATATCGTGCTCTAATGCTCTTCCACTTCCAAGTCCTGTCTGAAGGATTCCACAGCCCATGCCCGTAGAAGGGGAATACCTGCATTTCTCACATCTGTTCTCAGGCCCTGCCAACTGGAATCATTTTAGCCACAGATTTCTACTCGTTATGTTCAAAATGGTAACTTTTATGTTAAGGAAATTCTCTTCGCTCTGGAAAAAGCACCAGAGAAGGATTTGAGTGCAGGGACGCTGACCTCAGAAATACAGACAGACCAATCAAGCAACATTATGATAAAGTGTTTATTCATTTTTTTTTTAAATATCAAATTTTTTTACACATCAATTTCGTTGATAAACAGTCCCCCAATATTAATAAAAAAACAAAAATCAAAAAAAAGAATCAAGTGTGTATTACTTTGGGCAGAACCACATCCCATTCTCTGATGACACGACCACTCCTCCCTTCAGCCACCTGCGAGGACAGCCGCAGTATGTTCAGCCCAGAAGAGTAAATGACACAAATGCAACCAACTTTAGGATTCCTGAGTATTGATTCCCTCAAGTTCCTTAAGTGAGTCTGTAAAACTCTTAAGCTAAAAAGCATCAGTCAGAGTAACCCAAACGGCTACGCATTTGGATCACGGGCTAAGCCTCGTCTACACAGTGCAGGAAGAAATCTCTTGAGTGCTTCAGAAGGGAATGATGTACACGAAACCGACCCCATTTCCCAAGCTGGCTTCCAAGAGAGGCAGGCAGAAATACCTCGATTTCTCCTCTTAGAATTCACGTTAGAATTCTGGGGAGCAGTTCGGCAAGAAGTCCAAGTCTGGTGAAAAGACCTCTAGGGTCCGTTCCTCCTTCTATTTGTAAATGGCATAGTGTTTTAAAGAAAACTTATATGGAAGTTAAGCATTCAGCAAGTACACTTGAATATTGCTACTTCTGAGGAAAGGAGGAGGCAAGAGGGAGAGACAAAGACAGAAAAAAGGGAACGTACCTAGGAGGTACAAGGTTAACAGTCCTGGAGACCAAGTGTCTACGTAGAAAGTTGAACATACGTAGCAACAAGGCAGAGATTGTCATGAAAATGCAGCGTAGCTCAGCTCTGTCCAGCTGCAGGTAAACATGCCAGGGACCATCACCAGGATATATTTCCTCCTCTTGTCAGAATTATCTGTGCCCAGAAACTTTCAGATGTCGATATTTCACTAAACACCACCTCTAAACTCACCTAGAGCCCCACATACAGAAACACGCATCCTGTGAGAGGCTGAGCAAATTCCTTCAGTATCTTTACAGAAGGGAATACATCTCAGAAACCAACAGCAAGGTACATGACCACAGTGGCTTCAGGAACACCCAGAGACAAGCTCTACAGACCAACGAGGGTCCCCACAGGTGCTGGCATCTTTATGAAGCAGCTTCCCAGTGTTGCTTCGTTCTCTACAGATGGACTTTCCATACTGAAGTCCTTTTGCTGAGCTGATGTGACATTAGTACATTGGAGCACTGACGGACGAGGAGGGGGAAGAGAAGAGAGTGAAGAGCCTTATTTTAGGCCAGGGTACACGGCTGCTTGGAAACCTGAACAGCTTTTGACGCTCACTTTGTCCCCTGCTCTGGCCAACAAGCTGTAGCAGTCTGCCATCTGTGCTTAAACCAAAGTATTCCCACCTCATGGGCCAGGTAAGCACAGAGACCAGTTAAGGGATTGCTAAAGGCTGAGCAGAGGATGCATGCATACAGCAGAGAGGACACACATGCACATTAAAACAGAAGACAACTTTTAGACAGCATTTGCTAAATACATGTCCTATTACATTTTATTTTAACCTTAAATACTCACCACTGCCCAGATTTTCTCCAGCATAAGTCTTGCTCCTAAAAAAACTATTCTCTAATTTAGCAGCATGTAGCCGTTCACTCAAAGCAAGGCTCCGAAATTAAGAAATTCAAATCACCAGGCTTGGACCAACTTGATGAAATAGTTTTACAAGTATTTATCGGTTGGGGGTCAGGCTTTGTTTCTAGCAGTTTGGAGAAAGTTACCCAGGAAATTCTAGCACTATTGATAAATGCTTCAGTACAGCTTTGGCAGAAGGGCAGATTTCAAAAATTGTATTTGACAAAGAATAAAACTGAGCATTGAAGCAAATTGGCTGATGCTCTAAAGCTTTCATAGCATAGATTCTGTATATGCAATCTAAGTAAATGTGGCCATAAAACTAGAGCCTTTAACCAGTTTGGTACAAAGCAGCAGCACTTCATCTAGCTATTAGCAATTGCTTCTAAAAACATAAAGTGTAAATACGGAAAGGGTATAAGATTGAATGGCTAACATTGGATGCTTCACGAAGCTGGCAGCAGATGAACCAGCAGGCTACGGGCGCAAAGTCAGCTCTCGTGCATCCGAGGGCCAACCTGCAGCTGGTATCTGCATACCAGATCGGGGCTGCTCCAAGGACCCCCTCATTGAGACCCGTAGCGGGAGGCAGGAGCAGACTCGGCCACTGAGACTGAGCATGCGAGAGCTGGGAGCTTCATTCTTGTTGCTGCTTTTGAATGTGAACCAGATGCAGAGGGGAATGGGTCTAATACATCTTATCTCCTAAGGCTTCTAGAGAGAGATCTGATGACACTGTACTCCTGTACCAGCACAAGCGTTACCCTTTGCAGAGGGGGCTCTCGCTGATTTGAGGTGCCTATCGTAAGGAGAATATTTTAAAAACTTCAGCAGGGGTAACTGACCACCCGCCCAGTAAAGATCACAAAGCTGTAGTCTTGCCTCAGTAACTCATTTTGAACGGAGCTTCAAGCAAATTACAGGATGCTGCTCTGGCAAGGGGTCCCCGAACACTGCTTCCTACATACGCACAGAGCAATGCCTGCTGCCAGCATCACAAGTAGTGGGATACGAGCTAAACGTGTCTGGGAGCCGCAGGCCTAACTGGTACGTCCACAGCTCAGGCAGAAGCTCCATGTGACAGACAGAGGAATGCCTTAAAGCTCTTCGTTGTTCTAAAGGATCTCCTGACTGCCCAAGCGCCTAAGAAAAATCTGACAACCACCGCTCACTGACATCAGAAACTCCTGCAAGTTCACAGATGAAACCAAATTTGCGTTGTTTTTGAATGCTACCCTGAATGAAAAAAGCCTAGCATACACATAGGCAAATCTGCTAAGCAACAGGGAAAACAAAACACCAGGGACACAGGCCGGAGACAGTGATAACAACAAATGAAAGCCATGAACAAAAACGTATTTCCAGCCGCTGCTGACCCATCGCTTCAGGTTTAGCTCAAAGCAGAAAGTTCAAGATGAACACTTGACACAAAGCCACTTCTCAGATTTGCAAGTGGGACTAAGTAAAAGTTCCTACTTAGAATTTGGTATCGTGTTTCAGCCACACTTTCCTTCCCCTTCCCCAGCCCCAACAGTGTTCTGGGGCTCTGCAGAGCATCACAAAGTAGCTCATCCCCCCCCCAAAAAAAAGCACCTGGAAAGGGCATCCCACAGCACAGCCTCGGTGAGTCCTCATCGTGCAGGCAACTCACCAGGGACTTCCCAGAAGGCCACGATGGTTGTAACGCAGAAGCCACGTCAGTGCATTTGTTTCATCAACCCTATTGGGGAGCCCTCACTCTTTAAGAGGTCTCAAATTCGTACCCCAGCTCCAGGCTTTCTGCAGTTTGCATTTCCACAGCCGAGAGGCTGATCATCCCCAAACATCGAGACAAACCAGAGCAGAGCAGACTTCTTCACTCCCCGGATCACATCCCCGCTCGGTGCGTAGAGAACGCAGCCACTGAAACAGTTCATTCTTCCAGGGGCAGAGGGGGATTAAGAGCTGTAACACATGGTTGGTTTGCTAAACAATTTCACTGTTAAGGTTTTGCCTTAAAGTGGTTGAGCTTGTTCTTTTGTATGGGGGAAACATGATGTGGGCAAGAATAGGAAAAAAAAAAGTAAAATACTCCTTTTCCCTTCCCCTCCCCGCTACAATTAATACCAGCACATCTTCAAATAAGTTAAAATGTCTCTTAAGTTTTGGTAGCACCAAATTCTATCCCTTCCCTTCTTCTATCCCCACGTTGTAAACTTGAACACGCTGGCCCAAGAGCATAAAAGGGTTTGGCAATAATAGGCATCAGCCTTCCCCATGCACACACAAAAACGCCCTCCACCCCTCGCTCCGCTTGCCATGCTATGCGTCTGTGGGCACCTACATACCTTTAGTAGCTGCCACAATAGTTTCACCAGCGTCGCCGATGGACAGTGGGTTACAAAGCGCAGGAGAGCTAAAACAAATCCACAAAGTTCATTGGGGCAAGCGCTGTTTCGCGTCCGCACCGTACCGAACTCGGCGTGCAGCTCCTGTCCCGTGCGCACGGTCAATTCACTTCGCAATCCGCTTTGCGCTGGACAGGGCGGTGACCTTAAATGGCTTCTACTTTTTATTCGTAACATTGGAGCTTCCTCTAAAATTGTACATTTAAATGAAAACTTTAATTTTAATCCAGTATGCATAATTAAAAGCTATCCTGTCCACGCAATGCTAGGAAGCTTTCTTTCTTTTAAAAGGCCAAATCTAATGAGTGAAACAGAAGAGACAAGTTACTTTGGCTGCAAATAATTAAAAATTGAGCTCAGCATTCTGCTTGTACATGATGATGTACATAATTCAGATATGTCCTTTGAAAGAAAAGATACCCTAGTCAGCTACCTCTTCCGTAGTTACGTAGGAACAACAATACTCTTGGCTAGCAAAATGAGAAGAGCCAGATCTGCATTTCCATCTGCTTGTTCCAAAGCCTCAAGAGCTTCCTGCGCGGTAAAACCTGCGCCGAGGATCCGATCAACATCAGCCACGGGGAAAGCAGGCGGTGGAGAAACACCCGAGGTCAGTCCAGCACAGCCAGCTGGTGGGCTCAGTAGTGGTTCCTCAGGCCCACCCAAAGGCTGCGGACCCTCAGGAGCAGAACTGCTGCTTTCCCCAGGTGCTCCTGTGCACAGGCACCCAGCATCTTGAGGCGCACCCTCACCCAAAGCAGGTTTAGAGAAAACGGATGCGTTTTGCTCCAAAGTCGGACTAGCTGGACTCCAACAACCTTCTGCCAAAACCTCTGCCTCCTCAGAGCTCTGCTGCTGGTCAGAAGTCGCCGCAGAATTCACCACGACCAAATCACTCTTACCTGAAAACTTCTGACTCTCTAACGCACCTTCTCCGAGAGCTGACTGCATGTGACTGACAGACCCAACGCTGATGTCTGCGCCAGAAACACAAGGCTGTTTCCCCTCCGCTCTCCCACCTTCAGACCTCACCTCACAGAAGGAACAACGCTGTTCCTGGCTGGCTGCATCTGAGCCTTTCTGCTCATCATCAGAAAGCCCCTTCTGTTGTGCTGCTGGCTCTGTGGGAACCATTTCCAGCTGAGAGACTTCTTCAGAGGTGAGGATTTTACCTTCTCCTTTCCGACTGATAATCAAGAGTTTGTGCAGCTCTTTCAAGGCTGATGCTAGAGAGAAGCATGGGTCTTCTGCAGGCCTTCCTGGATCCATATCCAGCTGATGGAAGCTGGAGGGAGAAAAGCTGTCTTCAGCTGCCAAATCAGACAATTGATTATACTTTGTAGGAATTTCACTAGTGCTTTTAGACTGCAGGACATCACCGGTGGACAGCGGATCACTCAAGGAGGATGCAGACTTCAGCGACTCCACCTCCATGGAAAAGGCGTCTGAGTTCAGGTCAGACACACTTCTGTCCTCAGCCTGTTGCTGTAGCTCACTTGCTGAGCTGTGCGCTTCATCTACAGACTGCTCAGCGACATCTATTTCCATGAAGGCTTCCGTATGCGTGTAGCTACAGGAGGCTGACATTCGGATACTCCCTTTTACAGAGCAAAGACCCGTGTTCTCCAGTCCATCTCTGCTTGTTTCTGTAGGAGGATTTTCTGGTTGGCTGGCTTCTTCCACAACGGGTTTCTCCACCCCACCACGGCAAGGAGGTTCTGGGTCAGTTGTCTCTGTTTGCTTCTCCAGATGATCCTTCTCTGGTTCTCTGCACATCTGATGGTCTACAGGAAGCTCACGCTCTTGCTCCTGTTCCGCCCGTTCTGAAGACAGACATTCACCTTTATTTTGCCCGTGCTTAGCAGCAGTGTCAGCCAAACTATTTTCTTTTCTCACTTCCAAAGGATGTTCCTGACCACAGTCTTGTTCTTTAGCGTTACATTCCTTTAGACTGTCAGCAATAAATGTTTCTTTGAGTGTCTTCTGTGAAAGGCAAGCTGGATTGCAACAGGTTTCCTCCCCCGTCTGGGGAGAAGGGTCGTTATTTGCCAAGGAAGCGTTATTGGAAGGATGCTGTAATAAGAGAGGATGCTCTTTTTCTGGGGATATCTGGCATTCAGTTGAAGACTCAAAAGACTTGACGGCTCTAGGATCAATGGGCTCTGCGAGACTAGATTTGGATGAGCAAATTGAAGCAGGGGCAGAGACAGAACGATCAAGTAATTGATTTGTGGGATTACAGATCTTGGAATTTAGTCCTGAAGACTGGACTGGATTTTGAAACCCATCAGAAGCTGGTAATGAGGGCATTTCCAGTGAGGTAGTTTCTTTGTCACTATTCTCTAACAGAAGGCAGAAAGAAAGAAGTGGTCAGGACACAGAAAAAAAACAGTTTTCACTGTAGTACCAAAAACTTATAAACCGATGGCTATAAATACCTGGTCTGTGGCCCACTCCAGCTGCAGTAAACACACACTACATGCATCAAGGCTTCTGACGTTCTGTTTGGGTTAGGAAACAAACACACCAAACTCGTGTTAGCACTCAGAGCACACCACATGCATGGTTATAGTCCTGCGACCTCGCAGCTCCCCTCCCGACTGTCCCTCCAGACAAGCGCACAAGCAGCAGGATCTGCTCAGGGTCACTGCCTTCCAGAAGGAGTTCTGCCTGGGAAATTTGTTACATCAAGTCAAAAATAACTCTGCTGGAGAACAATTTAAAGGCTGTTCTGTACTACGTACACTGCAGAGTGCTCTGTGGGTGATGCTACTCGGCACAGGGCACGAGTCTAGCACTGTACTGGTTTGTCCTCCATACAGCTGAAGATATTCAGGAGCCACATTTCGGGGAAACGAGAACTGAGATGGCACCACAATTCTCGGGGTGTGCTCCCAGCAGCTATGGCCTTGCCATGGCTAGTGTCAGCGCAGGACAGGGAAGGCGAGGAAACACCAGCTTGCTACAAAAGGGAAGCGTCAGGATCTTAGGGTGAAAGGCAGAAATCCCCAATAGGAACTGCTGCCCGAAGCTGGCACGAGCAAAGCAAAGGAAGGGAGAGCTAGCAGTCAAACCCAGCTCACTGCTCACTGCTCCACACGGAGAACGGATGAATTGCAGATCTCTATCAGCAGCACCAAACACTGGGTCTCGTTATCAGGACAGTTTAAGCAAGTTCACTTATCTTGCTAATAGTCTAATCTTGCTAAGGTATCAGCTCTCCTGATCTTGTTAAATTTCTAACATGACCTTTGCTGTCAGAGCGCCTGGTCTTCCATTACAGCCCTACTGTCCAGTGTCAGACATCCGAACGGCGATCCAGATTTTCTGCTGCGTGATTTGTTGCACTAGTTCCCTTTCTCTTTCCAAAGGCCTCCAAACTCAGTGGTCTTAAACACTGTTTCACCTTAAGTCTTTCTCTTTTTACCGATACCCAGGTGCACTGGCGCACAGCTAACCATGCTCACGGGTACAGCCAGGATTGCCTTGAAGTTCCACACCAGGGAAGAAGTCTGCCTTTTCCACCCTCAGCTACCTGTTTCTTTTATTCTCCGTTAAACAAAAACGGTGCGCTACATGCTGCGGGTACTGCACCTCTGATCGATACGCTTTGGTATAACGCACAGCGGCCGCTGCAGAGCGATCCCGTCTGTTGGCTGCACATCTGGTCTTAGTGCAGCTGCAATAACTTGGCAACGCTGGAGTACTAAAAAGCCAGAATTATCCTGCGGATTGTCAAACCGCTCGCCTTTCATAGGGGCGGCAAAGAGGCTTGCGACACCGGATGAAAAGCGGAGGGATCTTTTTCTGTTTCTGCGCGGCAGGATTACGTTCCCGCTCCCTGCTGCAAAACCAGTCCTTCAGAGAGGAAGCAGACCTGTCTTTTGACTCAGCGGTAACAAGGGTCTGGTCAGTCAAACCCGTCCCAGATTTGCAGTCACTCAGACAGCAGCAGCAGCTGGTGTTCTGCCAAGTGCTCCTCAGCGTCACCCTGCCGAGACCCACCACCATCCTCCTCCCAGGGTACCTACAGGGGTTGAATCCCAGCCCCATCGTGGGTATCGATCCAGCTAACGCCCCGAGCAAACCCTTCTCCACAAAGCGCACTATCAGGGATAAATTCCTCTCTGTATTAGGAAAAGCCCGAGTTGCGCAGGTGACGGCAGTGCCTTTCTTACACCGCGCCTGTCTGGATGAAAAGCTGTACAGGGGGTAAACTACCTGAATATGCCTCCTCCTACAGCAACTGTCGTCTTGCTGCCAGTTTTGTAAATCCCCCGTAATCGCAGCCTTGTTACCAGTGGTGGTGGTGGGGAAAACACTGCATCTTGGCAGAAAAGAGCAAGCTCACAGACAGAAACGAAGCAGACGTGGAGGATCCAGACCGCAGTAAAACACACCAGGACTGCACTATCACCTCAGCTGCCTTGCCGTAGGTGTCGAAACACCAGCAAGCCAGCTGACAGAAATTATGAGGCTTGCTGAAGTGGGCTTTGGGGGATTAAATAAAGCTCAAGAACAATCCAGGTGTGTTCAGAATGAGAACTTTAATCGCCTACAGATGTACACAGCGATTTCTCTTGTACCATCTACCAGAAGGCAGCAAAAATTCAAGCTGTTATGAAAGAACACAGGCCTTGAAGCGAGCTGAGCATCCTTAGTGCTGCATTTTGTGCTCTCTCTCTCCCTCTCCAGTTTCCTGTTCTTTCTCTCGGTTTTCCTGGCACCATCTAGCAGCAGCTAATAGTTTTGGAAGAGGGGGAAAGGGTACACATTAGTATTTTGACATCTTAGGATACAGCCAACAAAAGCCTGTGGGCCAGAGGCTTATAATAAATCTACGACTTACACACGGTCCATCTGAACAAGACCTACCTTAGCTCTGTGCACTGGTGTTCTACCAGCATTAAGGGAATACAGAAAATGGATTTCCTGTTCTCATAAATATTTTACATTCCTCTAGGGTTCAGCATCAATGGAGAGCGGCAGACTGCTGATTAGTGTGAACAAAGCCGCGTGGTCTTTAGAACCGTATTGGTACATAAGCAGCTTTCATTTAAGTCATTTTAGGCACTTTTCATTTTAAAGCACTCGACTAAAATGCTTTTATTGTAAAAAAATCATATCTTTTGGGCCAAGGTTTGCTTTTTATTTGACAATTTCAGCAGAGAACTACATCCAGTCAACTACGATCTCTGCAAAATCTCATCCGAAATGGAGAGACACTGTAAAAATCAACCCAGGCTTCACCAGGCTCAAAGTTTTAACAGGAAAAGAACTAATATTTACATCTGCACATTTTCTCTGCCAGGTTATGTGGAGAGACGTAAGCCCAAGCTACCAAGTCCGACCTGTAGCTATGCCAAAAACTGACAGGGGCAAGGTCAAATCTATGTTTGCTTTCCTGTCTCCTTGCTGCAACTTCAGTTAATAAGCATTCAAATTTGCCTATAAAAGTCAAAGATGTAAACCATTTCTGGCTGATTCACTAAAGCCAGGCCTTCCTCTCGAGGCTTTTACATCTCTGGAAAACTTACATTCGTAGCATGGAAGAAAACTGGTCAAAGGGACTAACAAGTGCAGTCCCATGCTCCCCTTAATGTAAACAACTTTGTTCTTTGCAAGAAAGTCACTGCTTGCTCTTTGGAGCATCAAGCAGCAATTGTGAAGTGTTAAAGAAAAATTTCAGTGCATGACAAGTGCTTGTGCATATATATACACACAGTTAAATCCGGTCATTGCATTTCAATTTTAAACATGAGCGTGTTAAGAGTCTGAAAAAATAGCAATAAAAATGTTGAAGACATCAACCTTGTCAGCTTAAACACGGCCTGGCAAAGAGTTTTGCATGTGTGTGGGAAGCGGGATCTTACTGTGTGCTCTCAGAGAAAAAAATAGCAGTAAAACTCGAAAGTCTCTATAAAACACACGCATACAAAATGTTATCTTTAAAAGTTTTGGAAAAGGCCTAAGGAATACACTTTGCAAGGTATTCACAGCTTCACTGTAACAGTGGGGGAAAATTTAACGAAGCTTTCCTTTAGTCAAAAACACACGCTGAAGTTAAGGGAGGAGCTAAACAGAGAATCTGGGTTTCAGACAGTTTGGCTTGTGGCTCAGCTTTCAGCCATTCTGGCATCTCCACTTCACTGAATTTTGCAGCTACCAAAATCTTCTCTAGCCCAGTCACTCTGCATTTGTGCAGATATGGATTCCAGAGGCACAGGGAACAAAACTATGGCGAGGGTGAAAATTCTCCTTGCAGATCACATTGAAGGCTGATGATATACGTTAGGACTTGAATTCAGCTGCTTCTTTTTTGAAATCTGGAGCACCAGTAACCTTCAGCGAGAGGAGCAATTCACCTTCCGAGGGCACAAGCACCATTCCAAGGAAAAAACACTGAAACTATCTCTAAAAATTGTCATGAACTTCTGTCCAGAAATTTGTATTTACTGCTACAGCTCCTCTATTTTTATACGCCACAGCTATTAAGAACAGGATTTGTGGAATCCTCCACAAAGCTGTCCTTACACGAGGCTGCTAAAACCCCACACAGCCGAACCACGTCCCTGCCTAGGCACTACAGCTCAATCCAGGTGAACGGGTGTCAGAGACAACCATTTATCTCCACATCTTCAAAGGTCAAGAAACCAGAGCGGCTAGGAAGCTGCAAGGAGAGCACAAATTAAACAGCAAGCACCCCCAAACGCCTTCATGCAGACAGATTTTACTGACAGAAAGGAAGAGAGAAGTGCAATTAGAGGCCACGAGCAAAAGTAAAGCCCCCTTCTCTCCGCCATTTACTTGCCGGTGCTGGCTTAGACTGTATCTCCTAGGAGATGAGAAGGGGGACTGCTGGCAGACATCCTCATGCACAGCAAGAAAACTAGGCAGATTACTATTTCAGCTGGGCTTCTCCTAGTACCTGCTTCCTCTACGGACTTCTGTATTGCTTCTGCTAGCTCCTGGTCTGCAATCTCCTCCGGCCGCACGTCTTCCCGCCCGGCCCCGTAAGCCAGCCGGGCACACTCTGGGAGCTCGCCCTCCGGGAGGAAGGTGGTCTGCGAGCCAGTCGTGCCGATCACTAGTACATTCTTCTTGAGATCAATTGAACACTGCGAAAGAGCATCGAGACATCAGGGGCCTGCGTAAGAGCGAGTCAATTCCCAGAAAAAAAAGGAGAAACGAGGTTAAACAATCCATTTCCAATGGGAACAGCTCACAGCAGCCAAGCATCGGCCAAGAGCACCAGCTATAAGCAAAGGGCCCTGTATGACTTCATTTGTAATAAATCATTCAGTTGGAAAGCTCTGAGCATCTTTGATCAGAGAAAAAAAAAAAAACTTCAGGGAGCAGCCAGACACCCTACAGCTACCCATGATGTACGTAGTGTACATGCTCCTTTCATAACTGGCTGGAAGATAACCCACCACCAACTCTCCCCAGAAAAATCCTAATAAAGTCCCAGGCAAGGCATCTATGTTGCACTTAGCACTCAACTTGGATGAGCTAGTAACTATTTCAAAAGAGGTTTTGATACCTGATGCCTCTTAAGCATATCCAGTCCTAGAAGCATGTCCATGGGCTGCTCTTCAAGGATTGAGAAGGAGCACGCCAGGAAATCCCCTTCAATCTGGACCTGAGCTGAAACGCAAGTGAGAGGAGTTACCACCTTGCAATGCCACAGCACAACAAATCTACTTTCTGCTCCTGCATCTCCTGGGAAAGGTCCACACAAACCTGCTGGGCAAATCTGACGTGCTGTTTCGGTCACAGAAATCCTAGCCTTGTGCAAGCCCCAGGGACTGTCAGGCCTGCCTTGGTCTCCAGAAGTTAATTATTTTACAAGCTGACCTGCTCTAGAGCCTGAATTACTGCTTATCTAACCCCCCAAGCTAGGGGAGTTGCGTACAGCTCGTTAGAGCACAGGTCTAAAAAGCAGAAACAGTGAAGAGAATCGATTTTTCAGACAATAAAGACAATCTTCTCTAAGAGCACACAGACAGCCTTCTCTTCCCAAAGGAGTATGAAACACTCCACAGTACTGGAACCCTCCCTCAGCAACTGCCCAACAGTCCCGCCCCAGCCAGCGAAGATCCTGCTATTTCACATTAGCCCTGTCTTTTGCACCCAGAGCGAACACATCCTCTACGTCTGCAGGAGCTGAGGACTCCCTCACCTAAAAGTGTTACGGTAATTCCGTTAGAAAAGCATTAAACGAGACAGAAGGCAGAGTACCATGCCCGAGAGAAACAAACATATTGCAGATGCACTTTTATTTTGCTCCGCGGGAGTTTCTAACAATTATAGCATTAAACCAGATACTCCTCGGTGCCAAGACTGTGGGAAAGGCAGTCTAACTGCCTCTAAAGCTGCCCAAAGAAGAACACCGGTACTTACCTAAGTGCACTCTGCCAATTATTTTCTGCGTCCCTACACCTTTAGCAATGCCAGCCCACCGCCGATCTACCAGCCTCATTATGTTGCACCTTTCAGCACAAGCTTGGCTCATGATGGTCATCTGGGCACCTGCCGGCAACAGAATTCCTGTTAAATCCTGACAGCTCATCACAAATTAAAATTCGCTCCTGGAAGGGCTTGACATCTTGCACTCAGCATCCGGGAAACCACCCTGCATCAGCAACTGCACTAGGGCACAAAGGCCTCCTGTGAATCCCACCGCGTGGAATCGACCGTGTACACTCAGATCAGCACGGACAGCACAGTACGTACTACTGCAGAGCTGGAATGACCCCAGGTACTTTCCCTTTAAGGCTGTGGATGGGAAGCAATACATTAGAGGCATGCAAAATCCCCCCCATCTGTAAAATGAGGTAAGACACAAAAGCGGCAGCGACCGTTCTGGCGTCGGAGCCCCAGAAATTCCCGCCGGAGCCTTGATCTGGGGTGTTCAAGCACTCAGTGCGCTGCTGCTCTCAGCAATTTGCTCTGCTCGCCTTAAACAACGCCCAGGCTGCTCCCAGGTTTTAGTTTGGTGCTTCAAAAGCCTGTGATGCGGTGCTTCACGGAATTTCCGGGCAAAACTTCTGGAGCGTTTACCGTCTCCCTCAGTGAGGGAAAGGAGAGCGCGGAGAAAGCGATGAAAATGGGGGCAGCTCACCTGAGTCAACGAAGGCTTTCACTGGATGGCCGTTGACTTTGCAGTTAATATACAGCATCACCACCTGGCCAAAGCTCTCGGGGGCCTCTTCCATTGCTATTGTCATATTTTCTTCAATGTTTTGTTGCCTGAATTTAGCAGAGAGAAGAGAAAACAATCAGACCTTCCAGCAGCCAAACACGACAAGCACCCCTCCGGTTTACAAGCAGATTGGTAATCCCACCCGCTGCAGCTCACCTTACAAACAGCACGCTTAAACCACAGCAAAGACTGCTTCGTTAGCTAAACACAGGCTTCTTAGCACAGGGATTGCTAGTAATGATCTTCGGATTAATCCAGAGACACCAAGTCCCTCCCCAGCGGCCATGGAGACTGCTCCTTCCAACACCGCACCTGCCTCACCCTACAGCACCAAACGACCTTCTGTTAGCAATGGAAACCTGTCACCACAGTTAACCCAGAGAACTCATGAGCAAAATACCTGTCTATCTGTTCATCACTAAAATACAGCGCTGAGGGCACACGATGAAGATGCTGCCAGCAGCTACAATGCTGGAGTCCCACACAGCAGCTGAATGTTCAAACCCTCCAACGTCTCCCTGGTATCTTTCATCTTCCAGGCACAGGAAGGGAGGGAGGTGAGCAAAACCGCAGTGAGAACACCACCACGAGCACAAGCCCTCGCTGCAAATTCAAGCCTACAGAAGAAACGCTCTTCAAGAAGCCCATCACAGCCCCTGCAGTAATCTTGGAAGTGATGGGTGTCTGTAGCGACTGCCTCCAACATAGCTTTATCTACCAAAAAGGGAAAAGGCCTTCCAATTTTGATGCCATTGCAAGTTTCCCTCGTCAGTAGGGGAAGGGGGAAAACCCCAAGCTCATCTCTTACCCATCTTCTGTACCGTGGTAGCCTTCCCACAAGAAGATGAGTAGATGTGGTCTCTTGGTGGGGAAGGAAAAAGCAAATAGCATCAGAGACCTGGCTCGCCTGGGAGCCGAAGCACCCTGCTACCCTACTGCCAGTCTGTCCTGCTCCACATACTCGTGAAACAAAGAGCCACAACATTTTTCTGCCTTTTATTATTTAGGCTTAAAATCGCATAAACAGCAGTTAATCTCCAGTTTTGGTTTTTTTGTCTGATCTATTATTCTGTTTTTCTCTGTGCTTCATACTCTTTCCACCTAAGATACACCTGAAGGACAGAGATTTGTCTCAAAAAATATGCTGTGTGCGGTAGCTTACAACCGATCTTGGGCAGAGCGCAAGGAGTTCAGAGAACTGCGGGGCGGGGACAGGGGACTGCTGGGTGCCCAAACTGTTCCCTACCAGCTGCACAGCCTTGGGCACAGCGCCTTTGCCTTCTTCCACAGACGAGGGGACAGGTAAGCGTTCCTGTGCCTCCGAGCAATGTTCTGCTATCCACCAATGTGTATGTTCTGCTTTCCTAAGCTAAGCATTTCGCCGGCAGCGATCAGTCATAACGCAAGAACGACTCTTGCCACTAACGAATTTTGGTTATGACCAGCTAAGAGCCTGTATCACAAAGACATTTCTGTATTGGGGAAAAAAACACCAGTCATGTTCTGACTCAAGCATTTATCACTCCATTTAAGAAATCAAGCCTCAGCCCAATGCAATTACATTTGCAAGACAGCAAGAGGGAGCGAGCGCTGATGAGCAGAACATATTCCTACAGAACATCTCTTCTGACAGCAGTGATGTTCCGAGTCTGGAATTAGCCAGAGACACAAAACAATTAGCAGCGCGCAAAACCCAATCTCGAAGGCAGCGGGGAGAAACGACGCCACGTTGCTGTGCGGAGAGCGCAGCTTAGAGACTAACACAGGCCCAGCTCTTCGCTTCAGAACATGCCCAAGGCACCCAAGAACCGCCTCTCGGGAGGATCTTGGCGAAGCGCTTTCCACAGGCGCTCTGGCTTCAGAGAGGAGCAGCTCAGACAGCTCTGGGACCGCGCACACGTGGAAAGCAGCGCTGCCACCTCACGATCTGTGCTCAGCTCGGTACATATAAAGGACGGGGTGCGCCTACGCATCCCCGAATCCCAATCTTCCTGCATGCAAAGGTGGCTCAGAGCATTGCCCGCAAGCAAATGCATGTCTTAAGGCAGGATCTAAACACGCTCCTTGCATCCTCCAAGCAAAAAGGACCACGGGTGGCAGCACCCTGGGGAAAAAAAGCGCCATGAAGACCTCCAGAGCCGACAAGTGACTTTGGTTTGCTACCTTATGTCTTCTTCGATCTTGGCCTGCGCCTCGAGATCAAAAGGGTCAGCTGAATAGAGTCGGATCCTCTCTTGCTCCCGCCGGGCTCGGTCCTGCTGCTGCTCCAGCAACACCCTGGTGAATTTCTCTGCAGTAACAAGGAGATACAGAAACGCTTTTGACTGGAAATTACTCTGACAAATCAAGTTCTGGCACAGCAAACTCTTCTTTTTATGCCAGCACGCACTCAGGGGTAGACTCAGCAGCACACGCACAAATAGCTTCATCTGAAGGCAGCACGGACAGACCTCAAAGGATCGGTGGCAAACCTGGGAACCCGCTGAGATGAAAAGCAACGGGACAGAGCTCCTTCTCCTTGTGTCTGCCACCCAAACTCAGCACAATCAAACTCAATTTCCTTGCGCATACATTTTTATATGGGAAAAAAACAGCAAAAAACATGAAAGACGACAGTATTTAAAACAAAGAGCTGCCATTAAAATGGGAATTGATTCACGTACTGCAGCAAGAATTGCCTACACAATACTCCAAAAAACCCAGCTGCAAAACCAGCAGATAAATGAGACCCGGAGCAGAAATCAGGACTACAGATCTTGCATAATTCAAACAAGAAGCTTGAGTACACGTGCATTTTGAAACAGCTTCAGGCAGAGATAGAAGGGAGATTTCACAGCTCGCAGTAAGACAGCCCATCTACAAGAACAGCTTGCAAAATCCATGGCGTTTTACACTCAGCCATCCCCAGTATGACAACAGTCTGTAGATGCAGCAAAGAGCAAATGCAAAATTGTGAGACATAAAAAGGCTAACAACAAAACTTACTTTAAACCCAAGCAACATTGGCAAAACCAGAGACATTACAATCCCTAAAGCTGAACGCCGACTGCTGAAATCAAGAGGTCCTAGGTGGGATGCCCGCTTCACAAAGCCCAGCCGCACGTTTTAAGGACACAGATTTTACATCCCCACTCTTTGGATGGCCTCTGGCTGTTTTTTACTACTTGGAGGTGATCACATACGTTCCCAGCAGGACTTGGCAGTAAATTCAGTTCTGTAAACACAGAAGGTTGTGGGTTTGCTTCCAGAAATGCAGTTCCCATGAAGAAGCTCTCTGGTTCTAAGGCTGTTACGTGTTCAGGAAGGCACTGGGTACGTTTTCTTGTTGTGCTTTTTTTTTTTAAAAATTAGGCTTCTGTATAGCAGGTGCCTTCAAAAGTGCCTGTGGTGCACCCAGCAGAGTCACACAGCACCTATCTATGCGTCTATTTGGGCATCAGAGCCAGAGCTGAACTGGATCCGTGCCCAAACACCGACAGCTGCAGTACGGAACGAAGAGAGCAAAACCAGATCCAACCACTTCCTTCCGACAGCTCCCTGCGGCCACTTGGGACTACAAATGCACACCTGAATCAAAGTTTAATGCGCACAAGACATGGCAGATCAGCAGACGAGCCAGTTCGGGGTGTCTTGGGCTTAACCTCTCGTTTTTTTCTGCCAACAGCAGCGCATCTTCTCAGGTGATGTGAAAAATCTCTCTCCTGCACTACAGACGCAGCGCTCACAGAAGTGTGACGAAGCTTGAGCGCGTAAGGGACGTGGTTTTAACTCTGGATATCAGCTAAAGTGAAAATTAAAAAATTAAACAGGCCGACAATATCCACGCAAGTTCATTTCTAGCTTCCTTTGACCGAGAGAAATCACTAGGACGTAGCCCTGAAGAATGAAAAAAAGTCTCCTGCTAGAAGCTTCTCCTCTTCGTTCATTTCCCCAAACTCCAAGGATTTATTTCCTAACTGCACGCCTCGCAGCGGTTTAGAAGCACATTTCCTGATGCCCAAACCTGCGCTGTTCTCATACTGAAAGGACATCAGAGCTCAACGCTGTCAGCACATGACGAATGGGGGACCAACATCAGCTACTCACCTGCAGAGGAGGAGAAGGACGTGGTACCAGGCTTCAGCCGCGCCCAAAATACCTCAACGCTTTCAAGATGAACACTTCAACATTTATGACCGTTCCTATGGGAAAAGCTCCCTGAAGGCACCATTTACTCATCCCTTTTCCTCTCCCTTGCTGACATCCACTTCCACAGCAGCTAACCATCATAGGCAGAGTAGGTTTCATAGCGTACTGCTCTCTGTTGAGGTCTCGGTGGGCTCTGGGGCGCAGCAAACGCTACACCACTATTGGAAAACATGCATTCAGGGAGTCTTCATACAAAAATTGGGAGCTGAGCCACCTGCGTACGCAGAAACTCGACTTAGCTGTGCATCTGATACTTGCCAGTAGGGGACAGAGGACATCAGAGAAGCCAAGCAGGAGAAATATGCCCAACTTGCCACAAACAGTCTTGTTAGAAGGAAAGGAGCTCCACCTTGAGTACTGCCAACTGGCACCTTTTACCAGCATCATCAATGAGCTGGCAGCGAACAGAGCAGCCCATTAGAAACCTGTGCCTGCCTTTTGTTAGAACTGAGCTCAAACAGATTTAAAGCCACCTCCCGCGGATTAAAAACCCAACTCACCGAGGTCTCCACTGAGCAACGCCTCCGCCAAGGGCGGGTTGCGCTCCTTCAGCAGGGACAGCTCGTGGGGATTCGCAAGCAGCATCTCCCGCAGCAGCACCGGGTTGTCCAAACCCTGAGGGAACGAAGGCGCATCGGGAGGCGAGGGGCGAGGACGCTGTGCTGGGGGCTGATGCTGCTGAGAGGACGTCCCGGGAACCGCGATGCTGCTGAAGTCTATCCTCGGCAGACCTGGAGGGGAAAGAGGGCAGAGGTGTCAGCACTTCACCTTTACAATTATGCTTGAAAAACACAGCGGAAAAACCACGGGAAGGATGAGCTGCTCTTAATGCTACAGTATTAGACCGCATTCTGCGAATGGCAATTCCTGCCAGAAGCGTGGCCGTGTGCTCAGGTCACTGGGTTAGCAACGGTAGCGCACATTTATGTAACTGGTCCAGCCTTCCGTCTGGCCTGTTTTTATATCCCCTGAAATGCACTTACTGAATCACAGGCTAGTTATTTCCAGCTTCACAAATGCCAATACCACACGGAGGGATCGCAAGGCTAAAGCCATGTCTCGAAGGCGCATCTGATTCTCTCAGATGAGAGAAAAAAAAGCAGGAGGGAAAAAAAAAAAAAAAAAAAAAAAAACCCAAAAACTTTCTGCAGAACCGAGGTCTCCACTGAGCAACGCCTCCGCCAAGGGCGGGTTGCGCTCCTTCAGCAGGGACAGCTCGTGGGGATTCGCAAGCAGCATCTCCCGCAGCAGCACCGGGTTGTCCAAACCCTGAGGGAACGAAGGCGCATCGGGAGGCGAGGGGCGAGGACGCTGTGCTGGGGGCTGATGCTGCTGAGAGGACGTCCCGGGAACCGCGATGCTGCTGAAGTCTATCCTCGGCAGACCTGGAGGGGAAAGAGGGCAGAGGTGTCAGCACTTCACCTTTACAATTATGCTTGAAAAACACAGCGGAAAAACCACGGGAAGGATGAGCTGCTCTTAATGCTACAGTATTAGACCGCATTCTGCGAATGGCAATTCCTGCCAGAAGCGTGGCCGTGTGCTCAGGTCACTGGGTTAGCAACGGTAGCGCACATTTATGTAACTGGTCCAGCCTTCTGTCTGGCCTGTTTTTATATCCCCTGAAATGCACTTACTGAATCACAGGCTAGTTATTTCCAGCTTCACAAATGCCAATACCACACGGAGGGATCGCAAGGCTAAAGCCATGTCTCGAAGGCGCATCTGATTCTCTCAGATGAGAAAAAAAAAAGCAGGAGGGAAAAAAAAAAAAAAACAACAACAACCCAAAACATTTCTGCAGACCTGCATTGCAGCTACCGACGCTCCAGCTGAGGCAGGAGGCTGGAGACCTCAAACAACGCTCCCACATCCCTCTCAGCCTGCGGTACCTCCTTTTCCAGCAACATTTTATGGCGGGGATTTGCTAGGAATCGCTGCAGCAGGCAGGGCAGAGGAGCAGGGCTCCGCTCAGGCGTTATCCGAGGAACCTTTCGCATGCACACACGATTGCATAACGGGGTTTGTCAAGACGCGGCTTCTCTGGGTATCCGTCACGGCAGAGATTCAGAGCCTGTTCACGCGTCCGAGCCGCACAGACCGCGCGTGACTGCGCCATTACACCGCGTGGGAAGGGAACCAGCGGTCACAGGACAACTCACACACCTTTACAAAAACGGCTCTTCTGGCCCAGTTACCTTTCTCGCTTTCTCTGCATTTCCCCCAAAAACAGTAAAATGGTATTCGCTTCCTTAGAATTAAAAAAACCATTAGATAACAAGCCCCTTGTCCAATTTTAAAAGCCCCCCACCTCATCCCTTGCCCCCTTCCTTCCTACGTGCTTTGCCCACGAGGTACTAGAGGGGACTAACACGACACGGAGTTGGCGTTTGACGAATATTGCGACGTTTGGATGCTCAGAGCAAAGGTTAGCTCAAATCCTTTCTCACCTGGGAAGCGGATGGAGGGCCGTGGCTCTACGGTCTCCTTCTGTCGCAGAATCACCACATCCCCGTCTTTCAAGCCATAGGAGGCCAACGATCTGTTGTTGTCAGTTAGAGGCCGCTCCGCATAGACTATCTGTTCATGGAGAGAGGGAAGGGACAAACACCACGCGTGACAAAGTGGACATCACACCCTGGGGGTTTTTTATTCTTATTTTGTCAGGAAAGCGTTCTGGTAAATGCTCTGGACTCGTCTCACGCGTCGGAAGGGGTGCAATTCTCGCCACGGGCGCGGACAGGCCCTGCCAAAGCACCTGTACACCTTCAGGCACAGAAAGATGACAACAAGGAAGCGGTGGGACAACACCACAGAATTGGTCTTAGCGAAACCCAGCAGCGGTTTCTCAAAACCCAGCGTCTCAGAGAAGGGCTGGTCTCTCTTTAATTAGAGGCCATGGTTTCAAAAAGCCTCGCACCAGGGCTGTTAGCCATACGTTTCCAAAATCCCATCTCTAGGATTACACAAGTCACAGCCATCTCCTACAGCGTTATCTCCCCCCACGTCAGCACCTACTGACCAAGGACCGACTGCATACATGCAGGCAGCGTCAATCAGGATTGATCCACGGATGATCCAGCCCAATATCTACAATCTCTGCCTTCTCCCACAACGCAGTTCCCCAGAACAACCAGTTTTACAGGGACCTCAGTGATTAGCTCAGTGATTTCCAGTTTACTCCAGTGAGGTAACTCTATCCAGACTCGAAGGTTCAGCACCCAAAGACCCCACTCCCGAGACCTGCCGTCATTCCACGGCGGGGAGTTAACTTGTTTCGACTATAAAACACAAAAGTCACATCACTTTATGATAATCTGACTTAAAAAGGGGTCTGCAGATTAAACATAAAAACATATTGAGTTAAAAATGAATAATCACCATGGGAACATTTCTATTAACATTAGCTCCGCAATAACTACAGATTACAGGGAAGCAAAAAAAAATATGTATCTAAAGATGTGCTTTACGGGAACAAAAGTTCCCAGAAACGGCATCTGCTAAACATTGAGGTCTTTGTGCCTTCATCGGAGCGCCACAGGACTGGGCAGATCGGTTCAAGAGCCTCCCACCCCTGGCAGGAGTCCAAAGCAAGAAGCGCTGCAGAACTCGGCCTAAACCCCACGGGTGTACGATCAAATTTCACATTTCCCACCTGGTTTAGCAAGACCCGCGTCTCTCTGGGTCTGGAAAAGGCCGGCTCAGCAGCAACAGGTTTGCCGCAGGTCGGGACTGGCAGAGCTGCGTGGGAGAAGCTTTTGCAGCCGTTGCGTGAACGCGTGGAGAGAGTCCAGCGCAGGGCTGCGAGGATGAGGAGGGGACTGGAGCATCTCTCCTACGAGGAGAGGCTGAGGGAGCTGGGCTTGTTCAGCCTGGAGAAGAGAAGGCTGAGAGGGGACCTTAGAAATGCTTATAAATATCTGCAGGGTGGGTGTCAGGAGGATGGGGCCAAGCTCTTTTCAGTGGTGCCCAGCGACAGGACAAGGGGCAACGGGCACAAACTGAAGCAGAGGAAGCTCCAGCTGAACCTGAGGAAGAACTTCTTCCCTCTGAGGGTGACGGAGCCCTGGCCCAGGCTGCCCAGGGAGGCTGTGGAGTCTCCTTCTCTGGAGATATTCCAGCCCCGCCTGGCCGCGGTGCTGTGCAGCCTGCTCTGGGTGACCCTGCTTGGGCAGGGGGTTGGGCTGGGGGATCCCCAGGGGTCCCTTCCAACCCCTGCCATGCTGGGATTCTGAGCAGATATCCAAAAAACCCTATTGCTACGTGCCTTCAGGTCTGGATGACGCTACAGACTTTCACTGCTTTGCAAGACGTTAGCGGCATAATTCAGGTCAGCGTGTGGTGGGAAGAGCCCCAGTGCATCCTCTCACGTTGCCGGACGCGTCCTGCCCGGCCTGACTCAGTAACGCCGCTGCCCGCAGAGAGAGCAAGCTTGCAATAAATTGCAGCCGCACGTGCAAATCTGAAATGGCAGATTCCCTGCGCAGACACTTGGGAAGTGACAAGTTAATCAGCTCAGGTGAGGCTTTACCTCCGTCATCTTGCTGCGATTGGATTTGCGAGCGTCTGGCCTTAACACCACACCGTGAATTAAGTGCCCAGCACTCACTCTGCACCCAATAGCAGCACAGCTTAATACACTTGTGGCCCGTCCCGCTCTGCCGTTAAACCAAACCGATCTCATCTCACTGCGTTTGCGACTGTCTGGTGTGCAGCGTGTTTTTCTGCGGGAGCTCATACACCGGCCAGGTACCGGAGACAGGCTCTCCTGGAGGAGAGCTGGGCAGGGATGCTCCGATAGAGCTCGGTGGCTGGGTTTTGTGTGATGCCATGGGGCAGAACCCCCTCAGGGAGCAAGGAACCCCAATCAAGAGTGCTAAACACCACCAGTGACCACAAATCGATCCAAACTCACAACCCGTTAAATCCTCCTGTGCACAGCCGAGGACGGGAGATGCACTGCGCGTAAAGAAAGAGAAGCAAAGGACGTCAGCCAGAAGAACGCGGTTCTGCCGGAAGCCTCCCCTTCCCCTCTCCAGAAAAGCCACGGCCTCCACGTGTGGAGGAAACTGCAGCGAGCCCAATTATTTCCCCTCTCCTCACACCACTGCAGCCAGCCGGAGCCGTCCCGGTTCCTCACGCCACTCTCCTCGCCATGCCTCAGACACCTCGCACCCCGGGCTCGCCTCCACCCCGAACTGCCGCACGCTGCGTTCGCTTCACAAACCAGCGGAGAACAAGGCCGGGATGAACGCTCCTGCGCACACAGCTGGGCTTTACTCTGCCCTGCACAGCCCTCGCTATTAAATCCATCCTCTCTGCTGTGCCGATGCAACACCTTCAACGTGACGCACGCCTCGGTTACGGAAAAACGGCAGTAAACCACCGAGTCTGGTAGATGTCACGCTGCCCATTTGCGGAAGATGGCTTGAGCACACAAAATCCTTCTACGCAACAAACCGCCTCACCGCTAACTTGTGTTTTGATAACCTTCTCCTACGAACACTTCACAAACACTGGGCAGAAGCAGGAGGGAAAGGAACAATAAATACATGGCTAGAAAACATTAAAAGAAAGGAAGGAAGATGATGCATAAATGGGAGATGGATGAGCAGAGGGGAAGCGGCGGTGGCTGCAGAAAGCACAGCGCTGATCCCCGTAACCCGCAGGTGATACCGCAGGTGATATAATAGCAAAACTCCACAGCAGTTTTACTGCAAAAGGAGGGAACTCCCGGCAAAAGCAAAGCAGAAAAGTCTGCGACCCCTCACTACGCTAAAACAGACCCAGAGCTGGCAGAGGTCAAAGGTGATGATGAGGAGTTCATGCTCCCCGTGCCCAGAGATATCGAGGCCACCATGCACCTGCTGAGTCCCACGCGTGGACGTCATCCCCGCTGCAGAGAGGAACCTTTATGCCAGGCGATTCCACTCCTTCTACCTACCAAAAATCAAGAGTTTTTCCCCTAAAGAAGAATCCGCCTCACCTTGATTTTTCTACCCCAGCTTTGGAGACCGCTTCCCTCCCAGAACCAACCGAACCAAGCGGCTCGCTGCAGGCGGAGCAGAACGCCGCGGGCAAAGCGTCACGAATCGGCGCGGCGAGGGAACGCGTCCACCTCACGGGCTGCCGG